CCCCCCCCCCCCCCCAACGCCTGGTCGTCACGCTGTTGTGTGTGTATGTGTGTCCCCCGCCCCTTCCTCGTCCACAAACAGCTCAGCACGTGGCGGTGCGGGAGCAACACAAATATATCTATATATACACACACACACTGCCGGGCATTGAAAAACGCTGCGTCCCCACGCGTGTTCCGAGGCCAGGCGGCTTATTTTGCCTTCCACGCCAAAACCTCCCAGCCCGGAGGCGAGGGGCACCTCGTTTTAACGGGGGCGGCGGGGGACCTGCCGCCGAAGCCGCCCGCAAGGCGGGGAGGCTCGGGGCTCCCCTCAGCCCCCCCGTCCCCGTGCGGTGGGGGAGCCGGGACGAGCCCTCCGCCCCCCAGCTCCCTCCTTTCCCCGATCCCGGAGGAAAATAAACTGTTGCTGCACCACGTGCTCGCCCGAGAGGGATGAGTGGAGCGGGGAGACTTTTCTACGGCTAGAGAGCATGTGTCGCACCGAAACCCACCGGGCTGGGACGCAGGGGGGAAGGGGGAAGAAAAACAACCTTTTGGAAACTATTGTAAAAATAACCCCAGAAAGGGGGCTTGCCCTCCCGGTGCCATCGCGCGGTGGGGCGTGGGGGGGGAACAGTAGGCGAAGCAGCCCGGCTCGGGGGGGCGCCGGTCTTTGGAGGGCTCCTTCTCCCCTCCTGCCGTACGGACTCTCCTTTTCTTTTTCCTCGCTATTCACGCGGAGGAGTGGGTGGTTCATCCGGCAGCAACAGGAGGAGGCTAGTCAAGGGCAGCTGTCAAAATCTCCCTCCCCCTCCCGCTCCCTCCTTCCCTCCCTCGTCCCCTTCTCCTTCCAGTTTAATGATCAAACGTCTGCCTGGAAGAAAGGCGAGGGAGAGGGAGGCACGGAGGGGCCCCCCCCGCCGCCGTTGTGTGTGCAAGAGCGAGTGGGTACGGGCCTCCCCCCCCCCCCCCGCCCCGGCAGCCCGGGAGGGGAGGAGAGAGGAGGAGGAGGAGGAGGAGGAGGCAGCGCGGCAGCCGCGAGTGCCAGTGCAGCGCTGGGTGACTCTCCCGTACTCGCTGCGGGAGGAGGGGGAGGGCGGGCGCTGTGTACCTTTCCCTCCCGTGCCTTTCCTCACTTTAAGGAGCCGGGGCCAATCGCCGGCAGAAGGGAACAAAGGGAAGGGGGGGAGGGAAGCCCACCCCAGCAGCGGCCGCACCAGAAAAACCCCCAGGGAGGCAGAGCCCTGCGGCTCCCGCTGACAGCAGCGCGGCTCCGGACTGGTCGCCGGGATTCGCGCTCCGCGGCGGCGCTGCTGCTGCTTCTCCTCCGTCCTCATCCTCCTCGCCGAGTTTAAAGGGGGAGAAGCGTCCGGCAAAGGGAGAGAAACTTGGCTCGGCGAGTGAGTGCCCCTGGCTCCTAGCGTGTGGGGTGTCTGGCGGCAGCGGCGGCTCGGTCCTGGCGATCAAGATGAAAAGTAAAAAAGGTAGTTGTGATGGGGCGCTGGGAGAAACGGGGTGCCCTTGCGCCTCTCCGCTCCCTACGGGAACGACTTGGGGGGGCCGAAGGGGGGGGAAGTGGAAAGGAGGGAGGCTGTTGCCAAGCCAGAGTCTGTTTTTCCTTCTTTCCTCGGCCCTTTTCTCCCCGGTGTGCCCCGCTCCCCCCCCGGCCGAGCTCCCGTGGAAGATGGCAGTGGATGCTCCGCTCCCAGACAAAACATGCGGGGCTGTTGTTTGGAGGCGGCCGCCTCTCCGCGCCGCTGGCTCCCTGTCAAAAACATGTCCAGCCGCCCGCTTTGTGTCTTCGCGAAGTTTTGTTTTCGCTCCCTCCGCCGAGCCTCTTCCCCCTGCCTACCCCTAAAACGTGTTTTGTTTTTGTCGCGTTTCCACACCGAGCCCCGCCGTCCCGGTAACGGAGGGCGAGGGTCGTTTTCCCAAGTTGAGGGGAAGAAAGCGAGGTTTCCCGTAACTCGGAACCTGCCGGCGTCGGGCAACTCTTTGTTCGCGGCAGCGCGGGGGGAGCGGGCAGGGCGGCGTGGGGCTGGGGGGCTCGGCGGGGGGGGCTCAAACCCCATCCGCGCCCTCGGCAGCCTTGTTTTGCTCAAAGTTGCTGGGTTTGCCTTCCCTTTCTTTTATCCCTTAAAACAACAACAAAAAAGTACAAAGTTTCGACACAGGATTAAAAGGAGCAAGATTTCCCCCCCCCCCCAAAAGTAAGTCACTTGAAGTTTCCTTTGTGTTGATTTACAAGCAGACAAACTTTATAGTTAGAGAATTGTTACTTCTTTTCGCTTGTGGTGCTTTAAGTGCCTTTAAATTGGAGCTTGGCCACAAAGACGCGGAACGTGCTTTCAGATTTAACACTTCTAGGCTGGCTGGAAAGAAGTTTAGAGCAAAGCAGGATCTCTCCAGTTGTGATTTACCAGTCCGTGGCGTGCATGAAGGGTGTTTTGCATTCAAAGACCATTAAATTACCCGAAGTGGAGGGTTAGAGAGGAGCAGTGCGCATGTTCAGTACTCCAGAGTTGTGCTGTTTTTCCCCTACTACGCATTCCTGCGGCTCTATAGTAGAGCAGCCTCGCTCATTGTTAATATCCTTGGAGCAATTAACGCATATGTCGTTCGTGAAATCATTGGGCTGCTGGAAAGGCGATGTACTAATATGGTTTGTAACCCTGGTAAGAAGCTTTGGACGTGCCACTCGTTTAAGGGGAGCGCACACAAAGGGAATTAGGGCACAAAGACGAAGTTTAAACAGCGGGCAGGGTGGTGTTTAATAGCGAAGCATTCCGAGTTCCCGCAGGAGCTGGGCGCGTTGGAGCCTGCTAGCGAGCTGCACGGATTTTTAGATTACAACATGTGCTGCATACCAAGCTCCGCCGCCTGAGCCTAGAGACACTGACAGCAGCGACTTTCAAATGTTTCAGTCGCCTTAGGTAGCCTGAGATTCTTAACCTTATTGCAAGCAGTTTTGCTCTTTTTTTTTTTTTTCTTTTTTTTTTTGGTCTCACTGAATTAATTTAGCCCAGTTATTTTTAGGACATTCCTATGCTCCCTATTTGCACAGCAGTGGTGAGCTGGTTTCCTGTCTGCTGTTGCTTCCATTGTTCAGACTTCTCTCCCCGAGGGCAGCTGCTGGTTGGTGAAATACCAAAACTCCCTGCACTTTCAACTGTTGTTCTTGCCACCTCCGAAATAAATGCGTGTGAAAAACGCTGACGTAGTTTCTAGGTATGCATGTGTAGGGCTTTGTGTGTGTGTGTGTGAGAGAGAGGGGGGGGGGGGGAAAGATCTGCTTTGAGGATTGCAAGTCCTGGGCTGAAACAATGGAAACAATGAAAGGTGACAGGCGGGAGGGAGAACTTTTGAGAGGGGCCATGGGCCTGGGGTTTGCGTGGCAGAAATTAAAAGGTGAGGAGACAAAGACGGAAACTTTTAAAAAGATGTTAGGGCTAGGGCGCCTTTGTTTTACTAAAGGTTGGGCTTGTAGTTATTTGTGACCTCCTGGCATTTCAGGCTCATTCAAGAAGTTTCAAAGAGTGACTTTGTTACAGATTTCTTGCTTGCACTCCTAAAAAACCCTCGTTTAAAGAAAAAAAAAAAAAGTATAGCATAGCCAAGCCTGACTGCTTTAGAAGCGATAGAGCGCAAGCTGTGTGAAATACAGAGGAGAACAAATAAGCTAGTTCCTCAATTATGAAACCTATTCAGAGGAAAAAGTTGTTGTGGGTTGTTTTTTTTTTTTAACTGTGGAAATTCCCTTCTGCATCCTTGTAGTTCGTGGTTACTTATGAATAAATTTAAACTATTTTATTTTTATTGTTGATTTTTAAGTTCACATTACATTTTTGTTAGTTTTTTTGTTTGTGTGTTGCATTTTTTTGTTGGATGTTGTTTTGGTTGGGTTTTTTTGTTGGTATATTGTTGTTTTGTTTGTTTTTGGGTTTGGGTGTGTTGTTGTTTTTTTTTTTATTATTTATTTAAAGTTAACAGGCTGTGGATTAAAACCCCGAGGACTCTTCTGTGGATAGTTAATGTAGAAATAATAACGTGATAGCAATCACACTGAACATACTCAGCTTGTTAATTAACTGATTTGGAATACAATCTCGCAAAGACACAGGCATGTGCTCAAGTTTATACATGTGAGGAATCCTACTGAACTTGGTTACAACAGGACCGGGGCCTTAGATGGGAACTGGTTCTGTTTGTCTGTGCTGCTAAAAAAAAATCTGTCTTAATAAATTCAGAGAACCCTAAGGGGGTGGAGGTTTTCCGTAAGGTGTTTTTTGTCCATCCCCTCTCTGGAGGGCAGAGATTGTTCCTTGTGGTATACTTTGTCCTGTTTTGAATAACAATTGGCTTCTGCCACTTCCTCTGTGAAGCTCTTCCTCGACACAATGGGATAGTTGTGTGTTTTGTTGGGTTTTTTTTTCTTCCCCTGATACTGAGCCTAAATTTGTCATTTGCTTAACTTCCATTTCATTTTTCTTAGCCTCTGTAAATACTTTGTCCTCCCCCTCACAGTATTTCAGCATGCCTTCTTAAGTAGCAGTAGTTTATTTTGAAATCAGCTTTAGTCATCTCTGTACTTTTACTCAAGTTGTTTCAAGCTGTTAACGGTTGGGTGGTGAGCCTAGGCTGGAGATCCTAGGTGTAATCTTCCCTGAGCTGATTATGAGAGGACCTGTGAAGTCTTTGGGCTGTGACACAATGCAACAGTGCGTTCAATCGTGGATATGGCTTCAGCTGGGAAGCCAGGAAGATAAAGTAATTTATAAAGATGGGATGCTGAACATGTAGTTCTTAGGTCATTAATAGCGTGGACTGCTCATCTAAGTGGTGATGGTGGGAGTGGAGAACTGGGATTTTGTATTGTTTTTCAGGCCTCTCCGCCAATGAACTGGTGCTGCTTTAATTTAGTCCTGTAAAAGCAGTTTTTCTGTTTAGGTTAAATGTATTTAGGAGGAGACATAAAATAACCTGTTGCTACCCTACTTTTAAGACAAAATAAATTAGTAGGTCAGCTGGGGCTACTCGTCGTGTCCACAAGCCTTTATTCTGGGTGTAAATAACAGTAAGCCAATGGTCCAGTCGTGGAGCTTAGCCAGAAGCCTTTTCAGTTGGGCCCTGTTAAAACAGGAAACCAGCAGCGAATAGCCTGATTACTAACAAGACGGAAAAACAAAGCTGGGTTGTAATCAGCAGGAATGCTTTAATGAAAACAGAGCCTTGACAGCAACAATGTGGCTCCTGCTCTAGTAAAAAAATATCAGCTGGGGTAGTGCGAGATTTCTAGCCATGACTTCCTGTTGCTGCTCGCTCTGTATCGCGCCGGAGAGATCTGCCACAAGTTCAGAGGGCTGATCGGCTATTTAAATGAGCTCATTTAAATGAGGAGAAGTTGTACTACGCTGAGTTTCCTGCTTAACCAAAACCCGCTTTGTGTCACTAACTCACTGTGTCAATTAATATGACACACTAAGCGAGCAGGTCAAAGGGCAGGCTCTGCTGTTGACTCATTTCTTGCTAGGTAGGTTACGGTTAGTCAGATGGCAACTTTTACTTTAGCAAAAGATCATGTTTGCAAAATAGAGAAACGTTTTTATGCTGCCGGCTTTCAGACAGTGTTTTGTGGCTTTTTTTTTCAGGTGAAAAAGGGCAACAGTTCTTCTAGAAGAAGTTTTGCTGTCAAATCAATTTTCTCAAATTCAGAGAGGCTCCCATGGTTAGAACTTGCAGAGGTTACTTCAGATGGGGTGGTGTGTGTCTGGAGGACTTTTTGTTTATGCCATGTAAATATGGCTCACAAACCATTAGACACCTAACTTTCTCATAGGAGTAGTTTCTTTGGCTTCTCTTCCCTCTTATTTCCAGCCCTCACTGTTTGCCTCTCCCTGTTTCCCAAGGTCCTGTCTTGCTGCCTATTATATGTAAAAACAAACAAAAAAACCCAACCCACTGAAGTGCTGCAATACTTCTGGTTTCTGACAAACAAGAACAGCTCACTTGAAAACATTGTCTGAATGGCGTAGGCTAGTTTTAGCTAGTTTTAAAATTGAATTTAAAAGGGATGAGCTGCTTTGCAAAGCCATCGTGTTGCCTGTGCAGGATCTTTGTTCCAAGAAATGCTCCTCGTGGCTCCAGGAGCGTGTTGTGCAAGGCATGTTCTCAGGTTAGGTTGCAAGCATGACAGCACTTTCCGTGAAGCTATGACAAATATAAAGCAGTTTGCTCGGAATCAGTTTAAAGCAAATTTGACGTACTTTCTAGGTGAATTAAGAACCTGTTTACATAATTTAGAGTTTATCTTGTGTTGACTATTTAAATATTATCCTATTGTTCCTGTTCCATGACTGGATAATTTGTGTAGCTAATCATCACAGGAAAAATTGGGTATGTCAGTTTGGTGTTTGTTACATAAATCAGCAATTGGGAGAATGAAAACAATACTAAGTAAGTTACTGAAGTAACTACGCCAGACAAATTGCAGATTGATCATCCTGCTGGGAATGCTTGCATATCAAAAATATGTTTTCAAGTTTGGACAGCTTAAAACTAAATTTAAGGATGTTGAAGCTATTCATAAATAGGGGAAGGAAAGAATAATTTACCATGTCAGCTTTGGCTGAAGTTTGAAAGTGTGGGGAAAGGTCCTTCCGTGCCCCCCCTGCCGTCCTCCCCTCCCAAGTGTTAAGGAAAACTTACACACTCCCTTCTTTCTTTCTTCCTGTGTTGTGCGGTTTGGTTTAAACAGAATTTTTGAATTATGGGTGGTTACCCAGATAAAAATTTTACTTTTGACATTTAACTTGTTTTTACTATTAAGGTTTTAGTTTTGATGTTATGAAGGAGCAAGTTTCTTCCCCCCACCCCCACAATCTTAAGTTCAAAACATAGAAAGAGTGAGTTGTTTTCATTCTACAGTTTCTAGAAAATGCTTCTGAAAGCCAGTATAATTTCACTTGAAATTAGTTTTGTACTAGTTGAAAATGGGTGGTGTTTTACTTAGATTTATATATCATTTGTAAGATTCCAAAAATCTGTGGTGAGCTTAACCTGGTGAGTATTTAAAGCATGGTGGTTTTTGTGTTTTATGGTACTGATTATTTCCTCAGTGAATTGTATATCCTACCAAAGGAGTAGAATTGTAGTCTTCCTAACTACTGACTACTTGTTTGTTTGTTTGTCTTAATTTTATTTACATACCATAGCTTTGTGATACTGGTGGTGTGGTGTATGTATAAAGGGATAATCAAATTTTGAAATCTGTTCCTTCCTTTGTGTTAGAGAAAAAAGGTATGCAGTGAACTTGGAAATCTGGAACCTTTGTAGTTAAGTATAGCACAGAACACACATTTCCACAGATTAAAATAAGAGATGAAAACCATGAAGTTGAAAAAATAATCAGGATGCAAAGTGGTAAATTTAAAACAAACAAATAAACCCACCCAAACATTAAATGATCGTGGTTCTTTGATACAGAAGTGCAATTAAATTAAAAAAATCCATCTCCTGATAAAATGATGGACTCTTAGGTACCTGATTCTTTCCTTTTCCTGCACTTTTTTTTTTCCTTCCTAAGTGAAATTCCACTCAGGGGTGGGGGCAGACACAACTTTTCTTATTTTCTTGTTCCATTATTTTTTTTATTAATAGCTCTAGAATGAGCTATTGATTTCTAAAATCTACAAGCTATTTCTCCCAGAAGGGGACCCGTTTCTTGAGTTGGGTCTTTGAAGTTCTTGCTTATTGACCTTTTGCCCAGCCACTGGATAGTTATCCTTGCAGAAAAGTGTTGGAAGCATACCATAGCAAGCAAATTTGGACAATATTGGCATTAGATAGAAGCTATCTGATAACATGCAGCAGATAAAAGGTTGCCAGGGGAACAAGAAAATGAGGGTTTGCAGAGAGGAATTCCCCTAGGAACAGATCATTGGTGCTACTTTTTGTTCAGCTGACAGAAAAGCTACAGCTTGACAAGTTAACGCTATAGGACAAATCTCCTGTATAGGAGGCTATGCCATGACTCACAGCAGAGACAGTTAATGTAATAAAAAGTGTCTGAACCATAGAATGCTGCAGCTGAGTACTTGACGGATTTAGGAGGCTGATGGTTGTTTTCTTCTTAAAATTGTAGGTGTAGTTGCAATATCAGGCAGTGAAACGGAGGATGATGACACTATGGATGTCCCACTGGATCTTTCCTCATCTGCTGGCTCAGGCAAACGGAGGAGACGTGGCAACCTGCCTAAGGAATCTGTGCAGATACTTCGGGACTGGCTGTATGAGCACCGATACAACGCTTATCCTTCAGAGCAAGAAAAAGCGCTATTATCCCGACAAACACACCTTTCCACACTACAGGTAAAGAAAAAATAAATAAATAGTTCTTGCTTCTAAAGGAGCTGTTTTCTGTTTTCTTCTTAATTTGCCTGTGGTCTAGTCACTGATACAAATGTTTACAGGTCATGTGTGATTTCCTTGTTATTGTTACTCACTCTCCCTCTGATTGCACTTGTAAGGAAAAGTCCAAATGAATTGTGATATGATGATCTTTGTTTATTGGGAATAAAATTACTCCTCTGGAAGAACAGTCAGTCATTAATTTGAGCATGCATCCTAATTTTTGTGGAATCGGGCCCCAAAAGACATAAAATGTCCATATCAGGCGATTTATTGTAAGGAGAAGGTATTTATTTGTCAACAGAGCTTTTATGGTGGTAGATGCACAGCTTAAGATACAATTCTTCACTTCTAAAACTGCAGCTTGAGGCTTGTTCCTGTAGAACATGCACATATATAATTATGTGTATGAGGGCTTCCATTAAAATTGGTGGAACAACGTATACGGGACACAGCTACTCAAGTCTGTTAGTATAGGTGTGGTGAGGCTTTTTTGTGGCTAGTTTGGATTCTGATCCTGGGATACTGCTGGCAGCTGCAACGTCCCTTGGACACATCAGTCTCATGTTCTGTGATCATCTTTGGTGGAATGGCTATTAACAGCTGCTTTCCGCCTCGTGGAAAGGTGGCTGCATGAGGACTTGGGTAAACTCTGGTTTGGTTTTGAGAGGTGCTAAAAATAGAGCACTCGTGTTGACTCCTGGGCTTTATTTTTCCAGATTAATTCGTTAGTACAAATTTTGTAATTGGCTGTAAAGTAAAATTTCCTTAATGTAACATCCTAAAGAAAACCTCCTTTATGTAGTAAACAGAAAAAAAGACGTTGAACTATAAACTATCCTGTATCGCCCAGGAAACTGGTTTGATATTTAAACAAGGACAAACTTAAATGAGGTAATTCATGTTATGTCTGTCGACACAGTCAGTTGAACAAGGAAAATCAGTAACTATTTGTGGGAGGAGTGGCTCTCTTCAGAGAGAAAAGGTTTTCCTGTTGTTAATTAACCTAAGCATAGGGAACAATAGCTAATAGGTTAATGTGTGTGCACAGAGTTAAACTCTAAACCCCTCCGTTTTTTCTAGCAGTCTTCAGATGTCCCGGGGCTTTCTGTAACAGGAGCGGGGAGCTGGGGGTAGAGCCTGGACAAGGGAAGGGCCTTTGCCAGGCGTGTCAGAACTTGTCAGTAGGTCTCTCTTTTGTTCTGCAGTTAAGGAAACTGCTTGGAGGGATTCATTAATCTAACTCTAATGGCACATAGTTGGAAATGAATGAAGATAGAAATTAAGATGTCATTATATTCCCAGGTCTGCAACTGGTTTATCAATGCACGCCGCAGGCTTTTACCTGACATGTTGAGGAAGGATGGCAAAGACCCAAATCAATTCACTATCTCGCGGCGAGGGACCAAGCTTCCCGAGGGCGGCCTGGTGGAGTCTTCCATCAGCACAAAGAACTACATTCCCCTGCTGGAGGAGACTGCCTTCCTTCCTGCTGGCGCACCGCTCGGCAAGACTGTGTCCTCTTCCAAGCCGTCTTCCCCGGGATCGGTCCTGGCTCGGCCGTCGGTGATTTGCCACACGACTGTGACTGCATTGAAAGACGCCCCGTTCCACTTTTGCCAGCCGGCTGAGGTAGGCCAGACCACGGACCTGCAGCAGCCCCCAGCCAACGCCTTCACAGACAACTCCCTCTCCTACCATGAGGACGCATCTAAACTGGGACCTGGTGCAAATGCACAAAGTGGGCTCTTTAACACTCCTCCTCCAACCCCACCAGACCTTAACCAGGATTTTAGTGGATTTCAGCTGCTGGTGGATGTTGCACTCAAAAGGGCGGCAGAAATGGAGTTGCAGGCAAAACTTATGGCCTAAATTCCCTTCCTTCTCCTTCCCCGTTTTGTTTTTCCAGGCAGGGATCTAACAGCTGTGTGGTTATTGCCACCCACACGATATCAAAAGACTTCACTGCATTATTATTATTTTTTTTTTATTAATCTTATTTGCACAAGGGATTGCTGAAATGAAGCTTCCTGTCACTGAGATGGTCTTCAGTGGAATATGGTCATTCCAAGAATTATAAACTTAAAGCTACTGTAGAAAGAAAGGATTGTGTGTTGGGTTTTTTTTTTTTTTTAATGTTTTCTTTGTAGGTTTTTCATAATGTGAGATGGTTCCCAAGATCATGTGATTTGTTTTTGTTTCTTTCAGACTGTGCAATATCTAGTAATGATAGAGTCTTCTTATCATTCCCATGTGGAACAGAATATACCGACACGCTGTCTAAAATAAATTTTCAATTTTTTTAACAATACAAACTTTGGATGATTATGCTTTTTTCCCATAATGTAATAAAATATTTTCTTTAAAAATGGATGCCTACAGAGTATTTTGTTGAATACGAGCTTTGCAAAAACCACGGCTTTAATCTTGAAATCAATGGAAGTGAGAAATACTTTTGTGCTCATACTGTCTTTGTTTTGTTAAGAGAGCTATGCTAGCAGTTGTTGTTAACCAGATGTTTAAAGGAATGCTGAAAAGTGGGCCAGAAGTACCTGAGTGTGTTCTGCTATGTTGAAATTTTTTAAAGGGGCCAAAGGGAGTTATGTAGGCAACTTTCGTTAAATTTCAGTGGGATATCTTAGGCCCTTCTACGAGTTCCAGCTTTTGACTCCCAGAAATACTTCAGGGCTGTGAGATGTGACAGCCCATGGGGAAGTTGACCTGAAGACGAAATTAGAAGGCAGAAGAAGGGGCTGGGGCAAGCATTCTTTGCAGGTCTTTACGATACAGCTCGACAAATTTTGGAGAAGGACAAGGGCTCCCACTCTTACATTTCTTTGACTACCAATGACAAGGTTTTGACTCTGTAATTCTAGCAGACTGAAATAGAAGAGACTATTGGATTGAAATCTGAATTCTGGGAGCCAGGTCTTGGTAAGATACTCAAACAGGTGGTTGACTAAGATTTAGAAGAGATCCCTGTTGTATTGGGGTGTATTTTGACCAACAGAATCTAAATTACCTTTCAGAAAAAGGCTCTGCTATCAAAATGACTTCTTACTGAAAAATGTGAAGACTTGCAGCTCACATTTCAATTTACTTGAATGTCAGTCACCCACCCCTATTCTTCTAACAACAGTGAAATAAGAGACCTCTAGGGGAAAAAATCAGTTCCGGCTAATCCTTAAAAACAAACCAGTTGTCTGTTTGGGAGGGTGGGGGAGGGCTTTGTGTGGAGCAGGAGAGCTGACGAATTTAAGGATATCATTCTGAGTAGAAGACTAAAATATTCAGACTGCAATGTGTATGCATTTTGTTTTGTTGTGGCCTTTATTTCTTTTTAGTGTCAGAAATACTCTTCATTTGTTCTCTGGAGTACTGTTTGGAATTCTACTGAGCTTCTGCCTTTCTTTATTTAACCTACAAGTTAAAAATCAACGATTATATTTAAAAGAAAAAGGGCAAATTGTAAACACTGTGGCTTACTCCTGTCTGCATCAGCTTCAATAACACAATCATCCTAATATACTGTATGCATATAAATACTTTTTTAAGAAAACTTTCTACTGAAATAAAGCTAGAAAAATATTTTTGAATATAGGCAGAGGTAGCTGAATACTTTGTCTTCAAGGAATAGCATATGAGTCTGGAAAGAGCCTTGCGTCTTGTCCCTTTGGGCACACTGTAATTTATACTTCTAGGTTATTTTCCCGGGGATGCCTATGTATGGTTTTTCACTTGTTTGTTTGGGTTTTTTTTAATGGCTAATTATAAAATAAAATGATAATACACTTCTGTGTAACTGTGAGGTCAATGTTGAGGGAAAAGTTGGCCAATAGACATCCTTTTGTGGCATAGAGGGTTGTTCTCAAAGGGTGCTAGACACCCAAGAAGGAGTGTCAGCTTTGATAAAGGTTTGGAAGATGTTTCCTTGTCCGCATGCAGGAAGCAAGTTTATTGCAACACTCCTTACACCCACACCTTAAGCATTGGTGAAGGCAAAACAAGGTCATGCAAATATGTTTGCATTGTTTGATTTGACTTTTTAATCTTTTTTTTTTTTTTTTTTTTCAAAGCAGGCTGCTGGTCTGCTGTGGTGTAGAGAAAAAGTAGGGGACTCAGATCATTAAAGGGTGTTCTCAGAGATCTTTACTCTTCATTACTCTGCCCTTTAAAATAATAAAAAAAAAAAAAGTCAGCAAATTTAGAAAAAAAATAGTGGAGCTTTGCTTGCTGAGCTGACCAGTTCTTTAATTCCACTAGAACAGCTGCAGTACTGAAAAATGAAAATAGGATGAGGAAGAAAGCTGTTGTCATTCAGGTTAACAGTTTGCATTGAAAGTAAAAGCCTGTGGTCTCTGTGCTGTTTTCATTTACCATTATGCCACACAAAATGGCATTAGTGTAACTGAGCACCAATGTCCTGCCCATGTGATGAGCACTGCACTTCCATTTTGCTGACTGACTCACCCTGCGGACTTCTGACCAGTTTTGCTTGTGGCCAATTATTTATTTTTTTTTTTAATTATTACTTGTGTTAAGGTTACACCTAGAAGTTCAGCTGTAGTCATAAGCCAAAGCCCTCTGGCTGAGTAGCACCTGGCACACCATGTAAAAGCTTTTCCCTACCCTCAGGTGTTATTTAACTTGGAGGAAGAGAATGACTCATATTGAGTACCCACTAAAATAATATCAAAAGGGAGTTTCGGCTTTCCTGTAATCTAGCACTGATAGTTTTGGTGCAGGCTATTGAAGTTTACCCAAATGTATTCTTTCAGAGCAGAAACTTGATGTAACTCCAGATAAAATTATCAGAGGTAGGTAGATGTAGGGCATCAGGTGGAGCTAGGATCCCAAACTGAGCTGGAGTCCTAATACTGAACAAACCAAAGGCTTCACACACCAGTCGCTCATCCTTGGGAGAACAAAGGAAAAGTTTATTTTAGGAAACTTGTTTTGCCATGGAATAAGAAAAAAAGGGGGGGGGGAAATCAGTAAAAAAGAAACGGTGGGACAACATGAGCAGTTTTGCTGTTCTTGCTGAATCTCTTTGCAAGACAGCAGTGTCAAAACCCTGACCTCTGACTGGAAACACGCTTGGGCTGACCCCGAAGACACGGGGACGGCATTGCTGAGCGGTGCTGGAGACCGCGCAGCCAGCCAGGGCGTCAGCGAACCCAGAGGTATGACAAATCTATGCCAGGGAAAACAGCTCACACGCAGGCTTCGTCAACCTTGTTTTCATGGCTTTTGTGTCTTGTAAACAACTTGTGGCAGCTGCATGTGATAAATCTCTGCGCAGAGCAAAAAATAATTACAATGGGGAGGGAATCTTGAGACTGGCGTCGCCGCCTGTGTGCGCGGGGGGGTGGTGTCTCACTGCCTGTTTCTGGAGGGGGGGGACGGACTTGTGGTATCCCACACGTCTCCCGGCTTCTGCCATGAGGTCAATGTACACGTCTATAAAACCGTTGAAGCTGTAACAGCTGGCCTCATGTGCTATGGGGGAGGGAAGGGGCTCATGGAGAGCACGGAACTGGGATAACTGGCTTTGGGAGGGCAGCGCAGCCTGTCTATAACCTCCTGTCTGTGGCCAGAGGGATGCTGCTTCCCTGGGCAGAGAAGAGCAGGCAATAACCTCATTGGAAAAGGGGTAGCAGGAGAAAGTAAGCAGAAACCAGGGGGAGAGAGTGTGGGTGGTGATGGTGAATGCTCAAGGTTTTCCCCTTGGAGAGACGGGAAGCCCAGCCAGCAGAAGGTGTGGTGCAGCTGGAAGCCCAGGTGCACCATGACCCTGTTAAGTGTCACTTTTATACCTCTGGTATTTAGGCCATTTGCAGTTAACTGTGTGCTGTCTGTCAAAGACTGTTTTCATTCATAGATTTTCTCACAGGGCTCATGCAGTTTTCTTGTTAACGCTTAAAACCTTTTCCTGGAGTGCTTCGTAGTTCTTTTAAAACTCGTTTGGGTTTTCTGTTTTTTTTTCTTCCTCTTCTTGGCATCTTGCAGTTGTCAACTTCCCTCTTGGCCTTTGCCAAATAGGGATTACTGGCACGAATACAGCTCATGTTCATTTTTCAGGACACTACTTGTTTTAAGTCTCTTGTTCACCAGTTGCCAGGGCTGTTACGTCTCCATCCTGTTTCGCTGGTTCAGCGGGCTCTTGTCCCGTGAGTTCCAGTGCTCAGACTGAAGGAGAAGAGATTAGATTAGCCACTCTCTCTAGCAAAAATATCACTTCAAACTGTTGCTGTTCCAGACATAGTAATTGCATCCACGTGTGCTGTATGCAGTGCAGTGTCTATTCCGGTCCCTGTCACAACAGTGACTGCCTGGAGTTCTGCACACACAGAAAATCACATAAAGAGACGCTGGAGATACTACAAAGTCAAAACTCAGACTACTTTCTTCATCTAAATTTTGCACACATTCCTGCTGACAGCTCAAAGCCATGGCATTTAGCCATTTTTCTCACCTTTCCCTTCAAAACTGGCTTTCTTGGCTTAAAATTCTCTTCTCTTTTTGAAGCTTTCTAACGCCTTCCTTCAGCTTTGAGGCACCAGGTCTGGGACTAAACCTGGCAAGTCTCACGAGTCTTGCTACACGAGCTTGCAGACCAGGGTGGCTTCCAACAGCAGACAAACCACACAGCCCTTTGTAGCGTTGCAATGCTGCCTAGCTGCGTAACATGAATCACGGTTCCTGAAGCTGATGCAGACATGAGTAAGTCACATCTGCCTCCCAGCTAATCCCTGTTCCACTGGATAGCAGGGTTTCTGCCAAATTTCATGTGCTTCCACAGGCAAACAAGGCGTTGATAGTTCAGCTGTTTACACCAATGCGTAATAAACCTGTAAAGGTGCACACAGGTAGCCATGCTTTGAATTAGTGACTTAACCAGGAGGCAGGTGGCAGCTTGTGGATTGAATGGGTGCAGCTGACAACTATCTGACCCTGTATATTTTTAGAGAACTTCTTCAGCTGTGGCTGCTTTCTCTAATTGCAGCCCAGCCAGTACCTGCCCTGGGTGTAGGTAGGTGTGTAACAACATGACCCTCTCACAGCAAAGAACCCTCGTCTGGGCATATATGTAAACCTTGCACGTGGTTTTTGTCGTCATCAAATCACTCGGTTGAAGATGAAGAGGATGGGCCTGACTACAGCGAGAGGTCAACCCAGTGCTGTGAGTTTTGCAGTAGGTATATGTGTTTGTATGGCTTCTCTGGGTCTTTCCCTCTACTTATTATTGCCATGATGCTGGGGAAATGCTGCCCTGGCAAATGTTCCCGGGAGGCCTCCATCAGTGATATTTCACAGGCTGGCAGGGCTTGGCTTCTTTTTGAGAATATTCATTTTTATCAGTAGTAAGAAGTAATTCCCAATTGTGAGGCCTCTAAGTTTTACCAGGATAGTATTCAATAAATATACAGGAAAATGTTTGGTCCTGCCTCTGAAGCCCTACAGTCTAATAACTCTTTGGGAAATGATGTATCATACACTTCAAACTTGCTGCTGCTTCCTCCCTTACAAACAAACCCTCAGGGTCAGAGCAGCTTGCTTTAGGGATAAACCCTTTGGTTTCTTTAACTGACGTGTCCTATCTAGTTTCAGCATGAAACCGAGTATTCTTCACTATCTCAACTCTCCTTCTAGTGTCCTAGGTCTTTTGCAGGAGCAAAATTGTTTTCTGTTGATTGGTGAATAGATTTTAGTGCTTGGCTGGCGGCTTTTGGCCTTTTGACCTCTTCTTTAGAAGCTGTTGATGGAAAAGACAGTTTTGAACGTAATTTGCTATCAGCTTATAGGTTTTATATATATATATATATCCCCTAGTAAGGATGCCATACCTATATGGGTCCTGGTGTTTATACAAAAAAAATCCCAAACAAAAATCACTTGACTGATTTGTGGGAAGAACGTGATGTCCTCCAGCTTGCCCTTAAGAATTTGTGTAGCATGCCTTGGAAATTGTTCTGGATAGCAGACACAGAACTGATGGTAAGTATCACAACAGTTTTGTAATTTTCCTGAGTAAGCCTTCAGCTGTTTTGCCAGAGCCTGTAATTTCACTTCCTTTTCTAGCCTGCGATGTTCTGATTGCCTGACCTTGTGCCGAATGTCTTATTTTGTTTTCTTTTGTACTTCTAGTCTCATTCCTTGTTTGAACTCTCCCTCTATCATCTTTCTCCCTGTTTGACCTGTGAGTGCTTACATAATATCACACACAGTCCGTTTAACTAGGTTAGAGGTTATTTTGACTAGTTTTGTACTTTTTTGAAAGTCATCTGATCCTTGCTACCCCACTAAACGAACCACAACAGCAAATCTTGCTCTGATGCAAACGGATCAACTTCTGTTCACGAGAGAAAACACATCTTCCTCGTGTAGACAACGTGGCTTTTCTCAAACTTCTGCTTTCTGTGCTGTGACGGGGGGTAAGCCAAAGAGACAAGCAATTAATAATAAAATCCGTCAGGCTTTTTTAAAAGCAGAGGCATTGGTTTTAGTTTCGAGTCGGCGGTGTTTCTGGTTTCAGCACGCAGTCCTGGCTCTGCTGCCACAGGCCTTCCCCAGGTGGATGTCCCACCAGGTGAGGTGTGAAGCAGACATTCCTCTGCCAACCTCGACTAAAAGGTTAGTTCAGGTTATCGTATTAAACGCTACTTAGGCAGTTGCTGCTGTAACTCATTCTTCATGTTAAATTCAGCTGGCTTGCGTTCAGCCAAGGTATTTCCAGTGATGTGCTGCCAACTTTCTCCAAGGGCTTCCTCAAAAGTCTTTCTTCCTTAGGA